GGGAGCGAAAAATATGACAATTCCGTTGCACATTTTCTCCTTTCAAAAAACTAGATCATGCATTTTAATACCTATTTGAGGCTAGCATGCCGTTTTGATATTATGGAGCACTTTCAGCCGGTTGCGCTTAAAGTTGGTACCCTTTTGTAGCAGTTCTTGCATAACTCAAAAAGGAATTTTGCTGGATTTGTCTCATATATGCAAACGGGAGCAGAGTGATCAATACTACCTGCCACCGTTTTCAAGTCATAGGGCTCGAATCATCTACGTGTTTAGCGCCTTCTGTTGCACACAGGTGAGTGTATTTGCTTCCATCGCTGAAACAGGTTTGAGTTTTGGGTACCTATATACAACCCAACTTGTCTCCTAAAAGATGTACTTTATGTTACATTTAAACCAGCGGTACACCCAGGAATCGTATAATTAATAAGGTTGCTGAAGCATTTATTGCAGACGAATTATCACAGGCGCATTTCTCGCCTGAGCCCAAATGGAAGTTAGACAATTGTGGCATAGTTAATTAAATAAGGCTTCCACGGTATATAATTTGACCACGTGATAATGCAGTAACACTGTGTTTGCCTGCTATATTTAGAAACACATGCTGGTCTAGGTTCGAATCAAAATATACATTTTTGTTTCCTACTCAGAGAGATTAGTAGTCTGAAATTCTTAGTGGCTTAATTGTTAAACGTAAAACTGAAAACATTTCATCACATTGTTCCTAGGATCATTCAAAATTACCCGGAGCATTGCTTTTTTTTGTTATGTATCATACCTAACCTTTACATAATTCTCTAAGCAACTGTAAGCCTAATAACGACGGAATCACTCAATTGGCAAAAATGTAAGAAGGCCACAAGGTTAAGTGCGCAGGACTACTTTTTTATTGAGTAGACAATTCCTTCGAATCACCTTTGCAGTATAACAGTTAAGCGCTATTTGTCTTTTAGGGAAAAATATGGGACCAATATATTGCTTGAAGAAACTTCCTGAGCTAAGACTTTTACCGGATTGCGGTCGTCTACGCAATCCATATTATGGCCCTCGACATCTTAGATCCCTCATCCGAGAATCTGAGTGTGAGACCGGAAGTGGGAGTAACCGGGTATGCTGCAGGTCATCAGGAAATCCGATCAGTTACGGCGGGCATAAATAACTGTCGCCATTCCCTCAACCACCAAATGTGATCCTCCTGCTGTTCCAGTGCTCTTTTCAACACTTCTTTTTCGCTTGTTTCCTTATCTTTCTCACCTCCTAAGCTCCATTGTTTTTTCCGGTCTTACCTTTACTATGGCCGGGGCAATGTTTTCGCGCAGTGTCGCACGCGTAAACTCTAACTCGTACAGTTGCAATCTTCTTTACTGAAAAAAACGTGTTTGTTCCAGACACGTGCTCCGCCACGCTGATATCACTTTTAGCCGGGCCGCACGCCGGCGGGTATCTTCTGCCCCATAACAATAATAATAATAATGATAGAGGCCGCCGCTAGCGGACGGAAAGGGATATAGAAGAAAGGCTCATACATGTGCTAGTGCTGTTTGTTGTCTTTGATCGTGGCGGTTGTAAAGTGATGATAACGATGCACTGTGTTTGTTTTTTTTTTTTGCAAAACCCTGGTGAACGGCCGTAGATGCTGCTGTTGTGATGGCCGCGAACAACTAAGCCAGGGCAAGACATGTACATGGAGATGCTAAAGAAGCCAAGGACATGAAAGCCAAAGGAAAAGAACCGAGGGGCAACCGGGAAACATAATAGCGCGGTATCGAGCGGAAGAGCAGAAAGGTCAAGAGAGAGAGATAGGATAGCCAGGGCCAGAGTTCGTTCATAGACAGCGAGAAGGTACTATGCACTCGAAGGGCTTTTTTATTTCTGCCTTTAGCTCCTTACAAATAGCCGAAACGGCTACAAAGGAGAGATGCAAGCGACATGGCAAAACTAGTACGAAAATTAGAAAAGCTCTCGATGGATCGTTTCTGTTTTATATAGAAACATCGCTGGCTCCACTTCTCTAAGGGAACACTCACACATCTATCGAGCACCTACATGCATGCGATATTGCGTTTACCTAGTAGCGCATTCTTCAAGTGACATTTCGGTTTCGTTAAACCTGAACAAGGTTCAGGCCGTTGTTCCAACTCAACGCAGCTCCTCGTGGTGTTTTCATCAGCTTTCTTTCTTTCTTTCTTTTAGTTCACAACAGCATAGAGAATAACTGTGAGGGGTGAAATTGAAGCTACGGCCTGTAGCAGCTGGATACCGCAGCGGACAAACGAAATGAAAGAAAAAGTTAGTGAGAGTTTCCGGTCCTTTTAAAAAGACGGTAGTAACAGTAGCATTGGCTGCTTTTCCTCGGTGCATAACCATACGATGTCGGAAACTAATGTGCCTTGTTTTTTCTCCTACAGGAACGGAGGGGGCAGAAAAAAAACGTATAAGGAGGCAAAGAGGAACGAATGCAAGGCTGATGGAGATCGAGGGGCAAAGAAGAAGGCAATAAAGAAATATAGAGAAAACAAGGCACAGAAGCCTTTTTGGATTGAGCTCGATGCTGGGCCCAATGTGCTGGCATGACGTGGAGTCGGCTTCCAATGGGCTGACATGCCGAGATGGGTGCGTCGCAGCACCAGCCGCGTAAGACAAAACTCGTTCTAGCCGAAGAAGACAAGTCGAGCAGAGAGGAAGCACTTTGGTTACCGCTGCCTAATCAGTTCAATGGCGGCTTTTCGCATGAAGTGCAATATATGGTTTGGTTCGACTGTGCTGCGTGCGGCTCAACTCAGCACGGCCAGTAAGAACACAGTCTGGGGCTGAACACGCCGGTCACTTCACTTGAGGAAAAGTCTCTCTAGCCGGAGATAGAGGAGCTCTTTCCGTTGCTTAGTTTAGGGGGGCTGATGCACCCGAGCGGGTTATCCAATGGTGATCGGTAGCGCCTTTAACGGGAACTCTTGCAGCCTATAGAAACGCCAGCTTAGCGTAATGACAATGGATAGGATAGAAAAGAAAAAGAAGAGTGAGCTACGTACTTCTCTTGTTCCGTTCACGGCTGCACCAACAGACGGCAGGCAGGCGGGCACGCTTGCTAGAAGCAAGGATCGTCTCATCCTCAGCATCATTGAGCAGAGCAAACACCTCACAGCTATCACTCGAACAAAGGAATAGAGAAAGAGAGAGATCCCGCGTCGTCTATCTTGTTTTCACTCGACCCTGGGGGCCACTGTGGCGGGCAGTGAAACGGAGGATGACAGTGATCTGTGGTGTAGGCACATGCCGCACGGGTGGGATCGGCGTGCCGTATGTGGCCGCGCGGAGAAAGCAATATCTAGCTGGGGCAAAGTGCTCTAGAGATAGGACTGGCTGTGGAAGAAGCTGGCGACGCTGGCTAAATCATCAGAAAAAGTCGTGCTATATATGCATAATGCCTTTAGAACAGATTTTGGTCGTAAGAGAAGAAACTTGAGTATCCGTGTTAGCACTAAATGCAAAAGTTTCAATTGAAGATCGTTACAAAACTTAATCAAATGGTAATGCAATGGGTGAGTCGATAACTTACATGTATTAGTGAAGCGCAGTATGATCGATACTCTATTTAATTCTCTTCTACCAGATATAAACCGTTTGGCATTCACTTAAGTAAGCGTTGCATAGATGACTTCTCTTAAATTAGATAGAATAGGTCATCGGCCAAATCTTATTCTGTATAGCAGCGAGTCTAGCTTTAATATTAACCTGATATCGACCAGGATGGTTTAGATTTAAGATTATAGTATTTTTGCTGTTTTACATCCGGTCTCGCGCTCACGCATGTTTGTCAAACCATTTCTGTCTTTGTAAAATGCAGCCCGTTTTTCATTATTATTGCGAGTTACATGCGTTCGATTGCCACACCAAGCGATACTCCTCTGCCCATACGGCCATTGACCACGCGCATTTATACAATAATGTTGTATAGAAATGAACTAGCCCACGCTAAATACCATATATAACTTTACTATTATTCATACATGTATATACTAAGTCGCACCTTTCGCATAGGTGTCATGAGCGTCATCTGACCCCCACCCGATTGCCCAGAGATCTTGTCCGCAAAGCACGCATTAGTCCGCTCCTTTATTCCTCGTTCACAGTATTCTTACTGTTCTACAAATCAATCGATTCTTATGCCAATAAAATGGATGAAACGTATCGTACGTGGGGCTGTTCGCCTGCTTTTCGTAGTAATCGTAGTGAGTCGGCCATCTTTCATTGCTAATGTTACCTGGAGGCGCCGTCCATAACGATCTTTTCTTTTGTGTTCCCTTTTCATCATTCTGTCTTTGCTCGCAGGTTCGCTTGTCCCATCTTTAAGCAGATGCCAGATTTTATAATAAGATGGTGTGCTAACTAGCCCGTGAAGTTACTGGGTCTGTCGCTCGGACATTATCCCTTTATGCGGTTTTCCCACTTCGTTTTCCCTTCAGACGAAGGCTTAGGTGTAGTCTAGAATACAAAAGCAAAACCTTCCAGCTGGATTTTTCCGTTGACTGCCTTCGGAACTCCTGCTCGACAATTCGTTCCTTCAGTGAACGGATGTTTCGCTCAGCACATGCAGTAGTGGACGGAGCTCGGAAAGTGGTGAACCGCAGACGCAAATGGAGAGTCCAGAAGGGGGCCATAGATGCGATAGAATCTCTGGTAAGTACTGTTATCCAATGCCACTGTAGTTGATGAAGACGACAGTCTTTGGAGCAGCGACAAACGATTCGTTGCTTCCAGCAGGGTCGGTTAGAAGACCAACTCGTTTTATTGCAGTAGACTAAGGACTGGATTCGACTTTGAGCACGCGTATACAACCGACTATTAGGAAAGGGTAGGCCGAAGGTGAGGGACTCATTTGGCAGAGGAAGGGCTGGCCGCCACTCTCGCCACTTTTGGTACGTACGCTTCCGACGGGTCTTTAACGGGCTCGAGCTGCTCAATGAGCGCCAGCGGCCGCTCTTCATAGATCAGAGCGCGTGCGTTTTTACGCGCGTCAACGTGCTCAACTATTTTACTGGCTTTCTTGTTCTTACTTGAGTGGCTCACTGATGTCTCTCTCGAAATCGCTTCTCCAAGTCGGCTCGACTCGTGTCATACAAAGATGCAAAACGGAACGTAGACGGTTGCATTGATGACGCGGTTTCGTTCGGCAGTTTGTTGCGGCGAGAGTGGTATACGATTAAGTTCTCCTACCAACGGCACTAATACTCGACCCTAACGATACGTCGTCGCACTGCGCATATCTTGAAAATGACTTCACGCCCCCTCCTCGTATTTTTGAAAACAGTTTCTGGAAGGACTAAACTAAGACAAGCATAAAGTACCGAATAGAGCATCTGAGATAGTTCAAACAGAAGACAACCGCTTAGAAGGAGTGCTAAATAAGTGATCCAGTGTTGTGAATAAGCAGAAGACGTGAGAGTACGCAAGAAGGTGAAGACGAAAAAGTAGGTTTCGTAAATAAACTCATACAAGATCAGAAATAACTGACACTAGAAACAAGAACATGGCTTGTATTCTATCCCTTAACTTCACTGAAGTATGATTCCTCTACGCGGCCTTCCTGATCGTGCATCTCAGTACGCATAATTCCAATCGTGCATAATCAGTTCATCAGTGAATCCGGTTACTTGCGGTAGTGTTAATAGTAGTTGTGACTTGTAAACGATGTCTCGTAACGTGTCGTGTCCTGCCCATGGTAACAATTTATAGAAAGACACTAGAAGCAAGAAATCGTACAAGATATGGCGATGTCTCTGTGCGCTTCTTCATAGCATTGTGGATTATCGGATCTCCATTGGTTTTTTTTTCGCTCTTGTTTGCTTGTGCATAGGTGTATTATATCATACTATTTGATAACGGCTTTGTGTGTTTTTATTCGTTCGTCTGATCAACTCCCTTAATAGTGGCGGTGATCACAAAACCACGACTGCTGCTGTTACTTCTCTCGATTTGCCGTTTAACGAGTGCCGTCGAGTAGTAGCTGCTGCAGCCCCCGTTGCTATATTCTTGGTGTTGTTTGGGTTTTGTCAACCTACATTGTGGATATCATGTGGGTCTCAGTAACAGCGACGCAGATATTGGGATTTTCGCTACTCCTGTGCGGCTGGATGGCGGCCGCAGCCACAACTGTAGGGGCAAGCAGACTTAGTTCACGGACGGTGACAACCCGCTACGGTGCATTGAAGGGCAATATCGTCACGTTGGAACAGGCGTCACGGACGGGTCTACAGCCGGTCGAGGTATTTCTTGGTGTCCCGTATGCGTCACCACCGACGAACAGCATGCGCTTCATGCCCCCAGGCACACCCACACAATGGAAGGGCATACGAATGGCGGATCGCTTCGCCCCCGTATGCCCCCAGCGGCCGCCGGATATCCGTAACGAGACAGAGGCTCTCAAGAGAATGCCCCGGGGTCGTCTTGAATATTTCCGCCGACTCCTACCGTTCCTACACAAACAGAGCGAGGACTGTCTTTACTTAAATATCTATTCGCCTGCTATCGGTAAGTGCGTGTGATATGAAAGATGGAGAATTAAGAATTATTATTATGATACGAAAGATGGAGAAAAATGACAAAGTGTAAACAAGCATCCATTATTATTGTATGTAAACGTTGACTGAATAAGTTGGATAAGCTGATAAAAACACCGGCAAAGGAATAAAAACTAAGCAAATGCTGCATTAGTGCATCATGGAAGATACGAAATCTTAAATCTGGCGGAGTTAAATCTCAGCTCAAAAACTCCAACCAGTGCTCTAGCACATGTTCAGCGACAATGGGGTTGAAAGCCAAGCATCTAATCGGATGAAATAGGTGTCAGGCCAGCTTCTAGGAAAGGACTATACAAAGAACTGATCAGCGTCATAACCCTCTATGAGACCGGTATCAGTATTTCAAGCGAATCTCGAGATATTCGGGCCCATTTTGATAACACGCTGGTCCTTCAAAACTCGATCAGAAGTCGCCACCAACGTTTGGAAAATGCCAAGACCAACATACGCGCTCGAAGGTTCACGAGCGTTCATTGTACTGCAATAATGATAATACTAAATCGACATTGCTATCAAAATAAATGCTTCACGTTGCGCCTATGGCACTACCGTCAGGCACTGTTTCGGTGCACAACGAAGTGTGTCTACGCTAGCACGTTCCCCGTATCCTTAGACCTTGCTGCATCAGTTACGGGGCTAAGCATTGATGTTTAGCGCCAAGGCAGCAAACCCCTTTTCCGACTGTGCGGAGTTTCACCTTTGAGTTTATATCACTGCCTTCTGTTTCGTCCTTATTCAGGTTAATAATAATGTAAGCATTTGTAGCTATCCATTCCTTCAATAGCTTTTACCTATAGAAGCTAGATGTTTATCTAGCCTGTAACAGAAGATGTCTATGTTCAGTCATAGTATAAAACGAGCATAGTTTCAACGTTTTCCATCGAGAGAATTTTTCCAAAGATGCAGTACGTTGTGTGATTACTAGGTCTCCACATTGCAGAATATTTTTATGGTTCGGTTTCACGCTTGGTGAAAGAAATTTTCTGTCGAACCTTCCGTGCAGAAACAAATCGATGGACAATTATGCTATAACAGGTAGCGTAAAGCTTTACGTTGTTTTTCCACAGAAGTCGGGCTATGCAACCCTTGCTTTTTTTGCAAAACCCATTTCTAGGACACTTAAACACTATCACCGAGGGTATCTATGCTCTAAAAATCGTTTGATATAATAACGTGTTCCAGTTTAAGTTCGTTTTGGCAAAAGTCACTCCTGCTACTTCATACCAGAACGCCACCATTGTACACGTCATTCAACGATCGTAACGAGTCAACATCGCGTGAGCCTTAAAGATAAAAACAAATCAAAGCCATCAAGAATTTCAACGATACGTCTTTTAGGTTTCCACATAAGAGCCCCGTGTGTGGATATAATTTCGTTTAGGGCTCACACGGGTCTGCTTTACTCAAAGACACATGAGCGGGGTATTTGCGTTAGACCATTACAAAAGGCAAACAACACTTGATAACCACAAATGCATACCTTGGCTTCGGAGCACGCCATTATATAGATAAGATTATAAAGAAAATGGATAGAATTTTTTCGCATTATGTCGTAAATGCACAAACTTTATTGTCATGGCTGTGTTAAAGGCATCTGTAACACTGAGAAAGTGACTTATCTACGGCAATACTGGGAAGAATCAGAAAATTGTTGGGTCTTACGGCTATTAGAATGCATGCAAATATGCCTGTGTTCGTTGTAATAGTATCGTACAATTTTATCTAATTAGAGAGCATACGAGCAGAATACTTTCTGATGATAATTTATTCCTATTTGTTTTAACGCTATTATATAATTTGTATTCACTATATAAATAGCTCGACGATGTCCAGCAGTGAAGCTTATAGAGCATGAAATAGCGTATACCAGTTCAGATTGTATGATTCCAATCTGTAATGAGCGAGGAGTTCGATAGAGCGGCGTTCACATACCTTATCGAAGTCATTCCGACTTCACCCACGGCTATAGCTGTGTCCGCTGGTCTTCATAGAGCAAACAGATATTTCAGGTTTTACGTCTGGTATTGCCTTCGGTAAGGAATACTTTAGACGGCTGGCCCTCGCAAAATGCAGCACGGCTGGCTTTTGAACCTCAACCGTTTCGCGTGATCTTGACCGTTCCCTTAAGAATAACCTCTTTATTTATTGCACCTAGGCATCTTCGTAGATTATTAGGTACCTATAACTACAACACTAACTAAGCTTTGTGCACATGAAAGGTGACAGAGCATTTAAAGTTTGTCGTTGTTTGATTTTATGATCTTCACTAGCGGCCCAGACTATAACATGATCACATTGTGTGAAGTATACGCGTTGCATTATGGAATACCCGTACTGCGCATTCTAATAACATGTAAAATGTGTTTAATCCATAATTGTCAAAAAAAAATATTATTCTATGTTTATTCTCTCTCGTTTTGTTCTCCGGTTCTGTTTTTACTGCTCATTGGTGTGTGAGCGCGGACAGAATCGTTAAAAACGGCAATAAATTAGAAATTATCTTCATCGAAGTCGTGTCTATCAATCAACGTGTGCCGAGTCCGTGTATCATAGGGAAAAAAATGTAGAAAACTATCGCTTTACTTCTCTATTCCCATGCTATACACAACATATCTTCTAGCCTCGCCGTATCATTATCAACATCTCGTTATTTCAAATTATCTAATTTTCGTTACGATCAACGGTCGCCGCCCCTCCGCAGCTTTGTTTCTTAGCTAAAGAATTCATGGACGGTTTAACGTCTGACAGGTATAAATATGAAGAGTCCCGTACACGGTAACAACGCAATTTGCTGTTTTTCTTCGTTTTAGTCTCAGGCTTATTTCTGACTTGTAATTTGGCCTTTAGCTGGACTATGTCTGTCGGACCTGACCAACTTGGAGAGCAGCAGGAGACAAAAAGCAATCGCTGGTGGTGGCCTGCTTACGACCTGAATCTCTGTTAGAGGAAACGTTTCAACGTAATTGCACATATACTTGTGACCGTACGTGTGTGCATGTGCATTCCCCTATTACCGTATACATATTACCGTATACGTAAAAGAGTAACGACGCCAACAAGCCCGAGTTTCAAATGAGCGTCAACTAACAAAGAATGCGAGAAATGTATAGACACCACAAATTGTCCGGTGCAATCGCAATACGTACTGGGTTTCCTATACACATAATATACGCATATATTATTGTACAGGTCGTTTTTCCCGGATTATTTAAGCAGCCCTTGAGTACTTAGCCTTGTTGTAACGCTAGCTTCTATAAAAAATAGAGGCAAAACTTCACGCAAGCTCCTTTCAGCTGGGCATCGCTTTCATTTTTTTCTCATTTGAGCTAGAAGGCTCAACTAATATTAATAGTGGTAACAGTAATAGTTAGTTACTAGCTGTCCCTGTTCAGCTCTTTTATGTGTTGCTTTCCTTGCCTATTGTTTCTTCCACAGTCACTTACAAGCCACACTGTTGCTTGCTATTCAAGCAGATAGTCCCTTTGTCGATATCTTCTAGAAGTTCATGTACTCCCTGCTTGTAAACGAATTTTTTTTGTTCACTTTGCTTATTTCTGGTGGCAGCTGCAGAGGATGCGGCCTCGGCGATTGCGGAGAAGCGCTGGCTGGGGTTAGGTATAAACACCTAATTTGCATTATAAGGTAGGCACTTGTATTGCGAAGCACTCAGCAGTGGCGGCCGCGCGTCGACCATAAGCTGCACCGGCCTAAAGCGGGCATGAAGGCAGGGCGATTCCCGTCAAATGCTCTCATTAACTCATACAGACAAACGGGGAAAGCACGATTGGAGCTCGACGTAAGGCTGCCTCCATTGGGGCTGCCGCTTCCTCACACCGCCGCCAGCTCTCCTATTTCTGCTTGCGGAAGCGACGTGGCCGAACGTACGTACTATCAGCGGCACCGTTAACACGAGACAAAGAAGCGGAGTCTGAGGGATAAATTATAGGAGACAGAATATCTACGTTAGGATAGACGCGCCCCAAGTGCACTCGATAAGAATAACCGAACGGATTAATCGAGTCGAGTAGATTTTACTCATAGGTCGTAACACCGTTCTGCATGCAACAACCGAAGCAAATTCTTGCGTTTGAAAGGAGTTAGAATGGTTGCCATTTCGAAGATAGGCCTTATAAATGCATTCCGTAATGCCCGCAGAGAGTAGTATAACGGAGCA